GACAAACGGCGTCACAAACCGATGCGTCTCGTGTTTCGTTTTACGGAATGGATCATTTTGAAAGTTAAGCACGCATTTTTGTTTTGGAATTTCTTTAGATGGGTAGGTACTTTTACCTATTTTCGAATTAATTTTGTCAAAGTTCGATATTATCGGTTACAAGCTGATCTGAAGTTATGACAGAAAAAGATCTGCTACCCGTACAAAGGGACCCAGTGACGCCTACGGCCTGATGACTTCAACAATTGCGGAACTAGCCAAACGTCACACCCATGCTGAATATCTGAAGAGATGGGGTGAAATCAAGAATGCAATCTTGCCAGGATCACCCTTGGCGACCCTGGGAAGCTGGCGCCGATGAAATATCTGGCGATGACCAAGACAAATCTACGCTTAACAGTAGGATTTCCGACTGGCCACTGTCAACTAAGGAAACACCTCCATATTATGGGGCCAGTGGACACACTTCTAAACAGGATGTGTGAACAGGAAAATTAAATTGCCAGGCATGTCCTAGGCGAATGTCCGGAGTTATCGTCAATACGAGAATGTGTGTACGGCGAGTCTTGGCCTACACCTGCCGATATAAAGGAGATGTCTGCTAGAGACCTGTCCACCTTCCTGAAAAGGACAGGATGGACGATGACCTAGGAGGACAACTCCTCGGAAGGATGTACAATGGGTCACATGTGGCCTAATATGTGCTGTGGGCCTACACTCACCCTCCCTATTCTACAGATGCAGATACCCGTGCAAAGTTGGTGTTTCATTGAGCGCTTTCTATCTTTAAATTCAAATGAAACGAAGTGTAAGATATAATCGAAAGTTTTTATTCATTCGAAAGACGTAGTAATGCCCTTATGCGTGGAATATAACATTGTGCAGATGTCCGACACGGCTTCTTTGGGTGGAGCGCATCCGAAATGTCCAATTTTCCATGAATCTGGCACATATATCAGGCTGAATTTGATCTATGGCATAGGTCATGTTGGCCAGTTCAAGTCACTTCCACGTGGGATAACTATAACCTCAAATCGCTGGTGCAGAATATCCAATGAGGCATGAGCTATATGGCACGTAGTGCCGTCCTGCTGAAACCACATGTTGTGCCAATTCAGGCCGAAAGAAGTTGGTAAACATTGACCTATAGTGCTCGCCGTGGACAGTAATGGCCTGGCCAACGTGATTCTCAAAGAAATATGGGCCAATGACGCTTCAAGCTCAAAATCCACACCAAACTGACTTCGAGAAGCATTGGACGCCCTTGAATCTCATGTGGATAGGTCTTTTCAAATTTGACAATTTTGTTTGTTCACCTACTCATCAATCCAGAAAAGGGCCTCATCGCTGAAAATGATTTTTCGATGAAAATTAGGGTCAGTTGCCAAGAACTCCAGAGCCGACTTAGCGAACACACGTTGTTGTCTATGGTCGTTTACTTTTATTTCCTTGATCTGTTGAATTTTTTACAGGTGCTGGCCCAAGTAACGAAGCAAAATTCGCCAAATTCTGGTCCGCGAAAGGCCGAATTCTTGTGAGCGACGTAAAATTGATTGTCTCGGATTCTCCTGCACACTCTCACAGACAACGGGTTTACGGCAGATCTTGCGTTTCGTTGACGTAGTGGTGTCGTCGGTCGATCGTTAACTGAATAAGTGAACTCAGATTCATTCACCACATTGCGAATATTTCTCTCGAAAGGCGAAGCGACCGTTGAATGGGCGAAGCGCAAGCTACGTTGCCCGAACAGAACACCCATTCCGATGAAACAATTTCATTATTTGCACGTGTTGTTGAATGCTATATCCGCCCATGGTGATTTGGCAAAACAGACTGAATAAATTACAACTAATTTAACAGATGTAGCTTCAACATGATGGCCGTTATCATTTGTCAAAGATCGGAAGTCCCTGTTGGAAGACCATATACAATGCATTTCATTTAAAACGAGCCACCCTGAATAACTTTTGGTGCAATGATTTTCAGGAAAAATAAAAAAACACGCCGACAATGGTATACAGGGCGACACATTTTGGCATATTCACATTTGATGTTACTTCCCCTATCGCACCCCCAGAGCATATCACCATTTTTTTCAAATGGATCACCCTATATTTTTTCGCATCATCAGATGCTCCATGATGAGCAGTTTTCAACAAAGTATATAACTTTTGAAACCACGATTCACAGGAAACATAAAAGAACAGGTCAAAAATTATATAAAAGAAATCTACAGGAGTGAGATCCGGAGACCTTAGTGACCTGATGGACTTCTGCTAATCCAGCGACCAGGAAAATGATCATTCAAAAATTGTCGCACTGGAGCTGCATAATGAGGAGGTCACTATTCCTCCTCAATTGCCCCTATTGATGCACGGTATTATTCGATTTTTCAACATATACAAATATTTATCACTAGTCAAATTATCATCGATAAAAACGATCCTAAACGGTCACCTAAAATTCCTGCCCAAACATTCAGTTCTTGAGGTCGTTTGGTATGAACTTGACGGTATAAATGGGGATTCGTATCACTTCAATATTGACAATTTTGCCGATTCACCTCTCCATTCGAACTAAACGTACATTCATCCGAAAAACTAATTTTATACAAGAATTTCTGATGCAAGTTGATTTGTTCATTGAGACTTTCACAAAACTTGATACATCTATCGAAATCATCTTCGTTCAATTCATGAACTAGTCTAATCTTATATGGATGAAATTTGTACTTATGAAAGATCCTGAAAACGACTGATTCCTGATTCTCGAGATTACTAAGTAAGAGATTGCGAATTTTCCATTAGTCCAACGTGCCCTAAAACTGTAGTACAAATAGCTTCATCGTTGACAACTTCTGAACGGTTATGCAAATTTTCCATTAGTCCAACGTGCCCTAAAACTGCAGTACAAATAGCTTCACCGTTGACAACTCCTGAACATTTATGCATTTCATTGTTAACAGATCCAATTTCCATAAATGTGTTCAATAATTCCGAAACGTATTTGTGCTGTACATAACTTACTGGATGATTAACATTGAACATACGGGCAGCAGCTCTAGCACGATTTCCATTCTGGTAGTACAAACTCACTATTTCAATCCGTTCTCGAAACGTATAAACCATTGCTTCTCAAGAATTCACAAAAACAGAAACACCAATTGTAACTTCACCTGGTAATTGTTACTGTAGAATGGGACAAATATAAAATGAATACAATATCGAATTCAAACTTAACTAAGCAAAATAAGACTTTCTTGAAGTATACTTCACAAAAACACCTATGAAAAAGTAACAGATTTTACAGAAGTTAATTCAGGATGACTCTTTTTCAACTAAAATAACTTTTAGCTTCCAAACTATGAGCTTCAGACCATCATGTATTCTACTTTGTTGAAATCTGTTCATCATGGAACATCTGATAATGCAAAACAATTGATCCATTGAAAAAAATGTTGACATGCTCTGGGGATGCGATAGGGAAAGTTATATAAAATGTGAATATGTCAAAATGTGTCTCCCTGTATACTATTTTTGAGGTGTTTTTTAATTTTTCCTGAAAATCATTGTTCCAAAAGTTATTCAGGGTGGCTCGTTTTCAACTCAAATAATTTATAGCTCCCGAACCATAAGCTTCAGACCATATGTTTTATTCTTTGTTGAAATCTGCTCATCATGGATCATATGGTAATGAGAAACGATATAGGGTGATCCATTTAAAAAAAATTGGTGACATGCCCTGGGGGTGCGATAGGGGAAGTAACGTCAAATATGAATATGCCAAATCGTGTTCCGCTGTATACTATGGTTGGCTTTTTTTTTATTTTTCCTGCAAATCATTGTACGAGAAGTTCAAATCAAATCAAATATTTATTGATCCATTGAAAGAGCTTAAAAAAAGCAATTGGACAAGTCAGTACATATGAAATACAGATATAAAATATAAGTATATAATATACACATTCATAAATAACAACAGATACTAAAACAATCCGCAATCAATGCAGATAAGAAAAAAATTCATCGATTGTATAGGGGCTAATTTCAGAAAGTAGTTGTTTTATTTTATATTTGAATACTTGCTCCTTGGTTATAATTTTGAAAAACTCCGGAAGTGCATTATATAATCTCAGTCCCAAAATCTCAAACGAGTTTAGACGTAAAGATAAACGTGTTTTTGGTATGTGAAAATGATTTCTGATGCGTGTATTATATTCATGAAAAGATTGGTTTTGTTTAAAATCCTCTTTATTTTTATGAATATACAACAAAAGTTCCAGAATGTAAAGACCAGGTAGGGGCAAAATTTTCAATTTTTTAAATAATGTTCTACATGATGAAGTTCGTGATGCGTNTGCATATCATTGTTTCAAAAGTTATTCAGGGTGGCTCGTTTTCAACTCAAATAATTTATAGCTCCCGAACCATGAGCTTCAGACCATATGTTTTATTCTTTATTGAAATCTGCTCATCATGGAGCATATGGTAATGAGAAACGATATAGGGTGATCCATTTAAAAAAAAATTGGTGACATGCTCTGGAGGTGCGATAGGGAAGTAACATCAAATGTGAATATGCCAAATCGTGTCCCGCTGTATATTATGGTTAGCGTTTTTTTTTATTTTTTCTGCAAATCATTGTACGAGAAGTTAATCAGGGTCGCTCGTTTAAAATGGAATGCACTGTATATACTTATAACTAAATACAATTATTACTCTTCTCCATAAAAAGTTTATTCTGTTATATGACTATGTCAACCTGTGAATTACTGTTTGATTGCAAATTTGAAATATTTTAGTATCGAAATAGTCAAGCTGGAAATGGAAGCACTATTTTGCACTTGAACTTGAAAATTGAAATAGTTTAAAATCTGTTTTTCGTTAACCGTATCAACAATATCTTACTTTTTGAAGTGCAATGCCTAGCCGCAGTTGAAGGAAGAAATTGCATTATCAAAATGACCAAATCAAAACAATAATGGTGGTTATTATTTTCAGGCACCTGAAAGCCGAACTACAACACTTGAGACGCAAAGGAATTTTAAATACATTTTTTTGTATAAATTTCTTAACTTTTTTCAAAATTATCAGTTTTGTTCCATAGTTCATTCTTGTATATGTAGTATCTATTATAGATCCATTACTTCCTTACGTATCATGTTAATGAAAATAAGTTTATTGCCTACATTGGAGATATCTAAATTATTTGTCATAACGTTGATCACTGCTACAAATGGAAAACCCTTTTAACTCTGCTATCGTGGTAGAAATATCATATCGCATGTTCCTGATTCAGTTCCACATATCTGCCATTCGTTATCGGTTTTATTCACTTGTGAAACAANTACAAATGGAAAACCCTTTTAACTCTGCTATCGTGGTAGAAATATCATATCGCATGTTCCTGATTCAGTTCCACATATCTGCCATTCGTTATCGGTTTTATTCACTTGTGAAACAAACTGGGTTCACAGTAAAACATAGCTGATCAGAGTGAAAGCAGGAAATCAAAGTTGCCCACACTTGATACACTTTCAATTATTGTTTCGAGTAGGCGAATGTGTAGTAGCGCTTAGATAAACCTGTCGAGCAAATATTTGAATGTGCAGTATGGTCGTTAGTCAGTTATTGATTAGGATACGGCTGCAATATTGATAATATTATCCTTGATTCCTGAGGTAGATGACGAGGCTGCACATGTTTTTATTTTTGGGATAATTACATTTTCAAAGCTGAACTTTTTCTATTTGACAATGTTTTCCATTGTTTTGATTTACTAAAACAGATATTCTTTGTCTATTCTGAAGTGACGAAAAATAATTCTATTTTTAGAAACATTATACCATTTTTTAGAAAAATACCCTAGTATTTACTATGTACGCTTTATAAATTGTTGTGGATGCAACTTTCAGAATTTGGAAACAAGAATGTTGTGTATCGTTAACAACATTCATCCATACGTTGAATATAGAGGCTACCACTTGTTTTCTAAATAGAAAATATTCAGCCCGAAGGTGATTCAGTTTCCATAACGAGAATAATGCAACAATTCGAGGCAAAAACAAAAAGTATAGAAACAGGTTAAACCCAATAAATTTATCCACTGATAAATTCTACAATACAATGATTCCATAAACTACACCATACGGTTTGATCTCCACGAAATTTATTTGAGATATATCACAACATGTTTCGGTAACACAGTAACTTGTTCAACAGTGATTTGAATACTACAAGTTGGTTCTTGCGCTAATATTTATATACCACAGGTAACTACAATTGGACTACCACCATCAAATTACCTATACCTCTACAACTTTTATATACCTGAGGTACCTCTTCAATTATGATTACCAGAAGCATATTACCCCACTTCTACATCAATAATAATATTTCCTCGTTTTTTTTTAAATATATGGATGACGTTTTCAAAGGTTTTACAGGTACTGAGAGACAATTAGATAATTTTCATAGGGATATTAACAAAATTCATGAAAACATTAATTTCACTATTGAAGTAGAAGCAGACAACTCAAACTCAATCAATTTCTCGGACTTATGAAGCACTGTTTGGAACCTTTGGTGTAGTAATGAATATTACTGGAGTTTTTTCTCCAACACCAAATCGTTATTTTCAACACCTCGACACATGTTTCAATCACCAAGTGATCATCTTCAAAGAGGAAGATTAAAACTCCTGTTTGAAAATGATCACTTGGTGATCGAAACACGTATCGAGGTGTTAAAAATAACGATTTGGTGTTGGGGGGAAAAAACTTCAGTAATATTCTCGGACTTAACAATTAGTAGAATTAACAACAAACTTGGTTTTTCAATTTATCACAAACCGTCCTATACGGATATTACTATACATTACGATTCTATCCATCCATATCAACACAAAGTGGCAACTTTCAATAGCATAATTCACAGATTAGTTAATGTTCCTCTTTCAATAGATAATTTCAATAAAGAACTTAATATCATCAAGCAAATTGCAGCAAACAATGGGTTCAAAGTGTTATTGCTTTTCGAGTTTGAAAGCCGTGGAAATTCCAAAAATCCATGGCTTTTAAACTGGAAAAGCAATAACACTGAAAACCTCAGCCGTGAAAGTCTAAACCATTTTGTCAATGGGTTCAAAGCTGAATTAATAAACAAAATACTTTCCAAAAAAGTCTACGCAAAAGCGATTCGAGACGTTTTTCCTGTTGATTAATTAGATAGTCAAAATAAAAATTATAGAGCTTTAACGTATTTTGGACAAACAACAGAAAAAGTGGCTTCATTTTTAGAGGAAAAGAGATATTGAAGTTGCTAATAGATCAAGTAATAGGTTGGGAAAGTTAGTTGAAAATAATAAAGATAAAACATCCAAATTCGATAAATCAGGAGTATATAAATTAAAGTGTGGAGCATGTCCTAAAGCATATATTGGTCAAACTGGCAAAGCTGGGGGCCAGATCTGGATATTACGGTGGATGCGGAAGCAATTCGAAGGCCAATTCATGCAATCTTACCATCGTTTTCATCAATTTGATATACCATGCATAGTCTTGATGGAACATCACTTTCTTTTTCTTCCAGTGTAGCTGTTTTTCCATGATTTCGTCTTTCAAACCAATAACGCTATGTGGGTAATAGTCGCTGTTGATGGGTATTCCCTTATCAAGACAGTCAATGACTATTATATCACGCGCATCCCAAAACACTGATACCATAACCCTGCCAGCCGACTGTTGCGTCTTTGCACGCCTTGGAGTCGGTTCACTACGTGCAGTCTACTAAGATGACGATCGTTTTGTTTCTGGTGTGAAATGATGGAGCCATGTGTCATCCAGTATCACATATCGACGAATAAATTCTGGTTTTTTATGGTGGAACAGTTTCAAACACTGCTCAGGATCATCAATTCGTTGATCGATTATGAGCTTGCACGACACCCACTTTGAACAGAACTTTCGCATACCCAAATATTCATGCACATTCCTTTGATATATTTAGGGCCTCAGCTATCTCGATTAACATCACTTTGCGGTCTTCCAAAATTATTTTGTGGATTTTTTTGATGAGAGCATCGTCCTCGGTGCTCGTTTCACATCCTTTAACTGTTGTACTATCCGATGAAACAAAACTTGGTTTCAGAAAAGCTCTCGAGAAAGTGATCGCACATGGTTACTATTTATGGCGAGATGTTGACGATATGGAAATATTATCCTGAACTGTGTGTTCATGTAGAATGTAGACTATCGAATACGGCATATTTACATTTAATCTATTGACATTTGCAATACACATATGTACACATATTCAACAGTTATTTCCCAGGTATCGAGAATGAAAGAGATTATTTTTCGCTATGTCAACTATTTTTAAAAATTTCATTTTTTAATTTTTTGTTTTATAGGTAAAATGTATGACTACGACAATATGCCTATTTAGAGGTTAATTTTACGCAACTTAGCGCAATTTTCAGGACACTGGAAAGATTACCCTTTATTACTTTTGATCTATAAGGAAAGGTTGGAAAGCCAAAAAACATCAACGAAAATTAATGCTTATTCCAACCAACCTTTTCGTTATCTGGGAAAGAAAGGTTTCGGCTTTCTACTTCTCCATCTTTATACAAAAAAATGTGGGAATCTTCCAAAGAAAAGTTTCAAATGTTCAAAATAGAAATACATAACACAGGAATATTTTAGAAAACAATCTATTGATAAAATCATTAATTTAACAATACTGTAACATTACTATACTATAGTGATTCAACTAACAAGGTACCTCCTTTCATATGCGAAATATAAACAATACATATGCTATTAATTGAAAATTCAGGAAGATGAAAAAGTATTGGAATTATTACATTTTGATCCATCATCCAAAATAATGTTTCACACACATATCCAGCGACACAGAGTTAATGAAAATTTGTAATTTATCTATCATAAAACTATCTAAGAAGGGATTTAATGACCTATAAAAGAAGCCACAAAATCTTAGTAATCAAAAGTGGAAACTAATAAATGCAGTGCTCGGGCACTACCTAAATACGCCCAATGACAAAAGTTTTGAGAATTAGAGGAAATATATTTTGGTGGTAATATACTTTTGATAAATTCGGTTACCACATTATCGGCATTTTTTTTTCTAAATGTCGAACATTTTGTTCTACTACTAGAAATGAACAAAAACCTTTAGGACTAAATAAAAATTATTGATTTTCAAAATGAAAATATCAGGTTGGTACAGATGTGAATTGAAGATATGAATTGTTTCATATTTTCAACAGAATTCAACCAATATTTGTTTTATTTTATAGCGCCCTACAAGAAAACATTTTGTTTACGAGTTTGTATTATTCTGAACTTCAAACATATTTCAATTTTTGAAGCCATTTAAAAAACTTATGGCACGTGGAAATGTACACAGCTGATTTCCATTTTCGTCATTTTCATGTTGTGCCCAAGGGGAAAATATATTCATGAAAATAGGATTGCATGAAGTGAAAAAGAAGTATACGATGTTCACTCTGAGCACATACACAGACTGTATGTATGAAGTAAGTATAAAATGCAACCACATAAACATAAACATTCATTCCAATTGAAATTTTGTTCTCAAGTTCAAACAAGGAATGACTGAGTGGCTTCAATTTCTTGTTGGGAATTTCTTGAACGCGTTTCTTTAATTTGTCTTAATTTCCCTTTCGAAAAATTAAGAAATGACCAACGAGGAGAATGAAAACTCTTTCAGAAAATATGTGATTGAATCACCGTTTCTTTCTGATTTAGAATAGCTGTGAAAGCGAAGTAACTTTTCTACCTTGTTTCGTAGGAGCGTGTTTTTTCGTTTAACATCTGAAAAAACATTAACATCAATTATCTCCAAAAATACTTCCTTTCACACATTTTCAATATTCTTCAAAGACGTTTTATATTTATATTGTTTAAAGAATATTTTCAAAGATGATTGTGCAGGTTGAAAAGTATTGTATTTTATAACTCCCAACTAATAACTTCAGTTGAATAAAACTCAGTTTTCAATAAACATTTTTCAATTTGAATACACCTACTTGAATCAAATCAATTAGAAGAACTACTTTAGCTTCTTAAGAATAATGTCAAACGATTTTAGTGAATATTCCACATGTCAAATTCAAGATTTTCATGATCGGGCAATAGAAACAGATTAAGGTTTACATATTTTTCCTAAAATGAATTTTCAAGTAATTAGAAGGATAGCAGGAGGAAATTTCCCAAAAGAATACCAATGACGAGATATTTCACTTTTCTTGATATTGATGGGGGAAACGAAAAAAGTTACCTTGCAGCACTTGAAAGAAATCCCTATGATTAATAAAAAGTATCTATATCTAGGAAGGTCATACCAGATTGGATATGGTTTGGATTGACTATAACCTGAGAGTTTTCCTAAATAACAGTAGTAGGAATATAAATTTTCTAAATGACTACATGGAATATATGTGAGTATTTTGTGGTGAATGTAACCTCTTAAGATTAGAATAAATACATAGCAAACAATTTTTTTTGACATTTCTCTCCCGTTCCTTTAACCAAAAGTAACAAAATACGTATTCGAAGTCTTGCAAGAGAGTGTATTAGTCGCGATGTCAGAATCGGAGGTTACGGCTGATGGACAAAGACTCTGGAAAAGTTCCGGAAATGATCTACAAGCTACAACATTGAGGTCCTCGTCTTTCACTTGGTGAGTTTTGGGGCACTGTGAGATTATATTGGCGCTGCAGGAAGCAGATTTGCAGAAACTTTTCGGGCTTGTCGGTTGAATCTGAAAAATAAATTGAAAATAATGAGACAGTTGAAATAGTTGCCGTTGAATTCACATTTATTGCTTAAGGTTACGACCGCATGTTACCGAAAGAGGCAATTCTGCGCTTGTCACAATGACAGTTCATCAATACGGTTGATTGATTTAATCATAACCATAGGACTTTCGTTCAAATTGAAAAGAGAAAAGTTTTTCTAAAGAATATTCTTTCAATTTATATACCTATTAGGCATTAAACTAGTTTTGTTGATTTCTCAAATATACCGAACTATATATCAACTTATCTAAAACTTTTATCCAAATATATTCATTTCACCCACGTATTCAGTAATTTAAAAAATGGAAGACTATTCAATAGTTGATTGATGGAAATTAAATGGACTTCATTGGCATGCTCCTATAAAATAACTCTAATCGATTATTGCCTACCTTCCAAACAACTTGTTGATTTTCTTTAGCGTAGAGTAAACGCGTAGGTTTGTTTGTGCATCAAAGGCGCATGTTTGGTGCATTTACTTGCAGCTTCAGGCGTTTGTGGCATCCGAAACACTAATTGGAGCTGTACTGATAGCAAATAGCGATGGCGTTAATAGAGATTCAAAGCTTCATTTATTCAGTGATAGCTTTGAACTCTAGTATCGAGGAATTTTTCCAATCACCTCCTTTGGTCTTTGGACTTGATGTTTTGAGTTCAATCCTTTTTTTGATTAGAATGTTTAAGATACATTCACTGAGCGTGATGAAATGGAAGTGAAATAAGAGATAATTTGAAAGAATTCATATTGCTATTCAGAGATTTTCTTCCATATGTTAAAAATGAAATAATTTACTATAAGGATTATTCGAATTTCAAAGTTTTTGTTTTGATAATGACGTTTTATAAGAGTTGAACCTCTCAGAACGTGATCACTTTTGATTCATACTCTATAATGAAATTATTCCAAAGGGTTTTTTTACTGTACTACTTTCATGTTCTATACTTCTTCATTACCCCTAGTTATCAATACCATAGCATAATCCAAAGACTCATCAATACCTCTATGTCGAGAAAAAATTTTGATATGGAATAAAATTTGATAATATAAATTGCAGTAACCAACAACATCAACCCGAACATCATTCATTACATCCATGACCAAACGTTTTTTAAATAACACTTAAACCTACAAAACACTCACATATACAGGAAAATCTTCAGATGAAATGAAAGCTTATCAACAAAAAAAAACATTAACATAGTACGAGTATATTAAATTGGTAATCCCTTGTCTGGACATATAAAGAACAAAAAGTCAAACATCGACGAAGATAACAAATCAGGGATCTACAAATTAACATGTGAATCATGCCCAGAAGTTTATATAGATAATATTTGAACATGAAAGAAGTTATGAACAAAAGAAAATCAATTCCACCTAAGATTGACACTTTTTAGAGAGCAAACATAATTTCAACATGGACTACTACATATAACATTAAGAAAATAAAGGTCAAAGATTGAACTTGCTGAAATATCTGGAAACAATAAATGCAGACACTCAAATTTTTGGAACAACCAACAATAAGTTATTCACCAGCTATCGTAAAACTTGTTTTTTTATGAAATGCCAAGAATTTATATTTTTCCCAATTGCGAGTTTGTTTTTCAAGTAGTATTATTGCATTGTAGTTATTTTTCTTGAATTCACTATTTATCCAATACATAACTACTATCATTGACTGTAGATTATATCCGGAAGATATCCATGCAATTCGCAGAGCAAAATTATTTCTAATGCTATTCATTCATGTAGCACGAGGACCTTGCTGAAATAATTCGAGAGACCTACATATATTTCTCAGGTTATTACACCTCATCAGTACAGGACCATTATACAAATATGTTTAAAATATGTTATGTTTGTTTGAAATATGTTTTTTCCATTAACCAGCTCTCGTACCCCTATGAACGATGACCTTTAGAAATCGAAACTTGTTCGAGCTAAGGACTAACGTGTGATTCCTAACACGGGAATCTAGAAACATTCAGAATTTCCAGTTGAAATGTTTTTTTCATGGCGAATGTATCTCTCTTTGACACAGTCATCTGTTTAGTTTTACTCGAGATTCGTCTAACGCTGTTCGGAACTGACTGAGACATATGTTTCGTTTTAACAGATTTAACAGGTTCTGCTGCTTGAGGAAGAAAACTTGCAAATACGTCCCTCGGATATAATCCATGATTCGTGATATCAATCAGAAAATTGGTTTGTTTTCCAACAGGCATTGGCCTGTTAAATTTTGTTTGGGTGATTACTTATCTTATTGAACTATTCTTGTTGTCAACAAGTGCAATCATGAATAATCAACGCACTGCAAACGTAAAATCAACGCGTTGCAAATTATGTGGCCGTTGATAGTACGCCCATATGCACCGAGTCTAAGAATTAGACGAAGTGATAACCTACTTTCCACCCAGTTTTGTTCTAGAAGACAATACAAACTTTCAATCGTTGATCATTGGTTGTATAAAGTGCCCATCATCGTACTCAAGAAGTACGCCAATGAACTTGCACGGAAGGGGTTTTTCCTTCTTGTCGGAAGATTGCTCGTTCTGCCAAACCGAAAAAGGGCAAGACAAATCTTCCAAATAACTATAAACCAGTCGCTTTGCTATCAGTGATATAAAAAATCATGGAGAAAGCCGTAAACCACCATATCCTCAAATATTTGAAACTCAAAGAGCGATCATCAGTATGGCTTTCGAAAACAAAGATCAACAGGCAACCTTCTATCGTATGTCACCCATATTTGGAATAACGCAATCGAGAAACATATAGTCCGAGAGCCGGCGACACAAGTTTCTGTCATATCTTATTCACCGGGAACGCCTATATAGTCGATAGAGTACACCTTTCTGATGAAGAAAAGTCATTTCTTACACCTGGAGGGAGAGTGAAATTAAAAAGCGGGTGGTGTGTCAAATGTTATTCACCTCAATTTCAGAGTGAATAAGATTTGTCACCACCCTCGTGAAATATTACATGATTGACTACCTGTAAAAACAATTTTGTCCTGCTTGCCAGGTGTAAGAAACATTTTATCATTAATTATTCATTAAAAACTACCTGCACAATAAGTTTCCAAGTGAATAATATTTGACAAGTGCAGTAGGAAAAGATACATGTTCATTATCATCTTTTGGATCCATGTCCTGCTGACCAACCTCGGCACTATCATGTACCTTTCTTACTCGATTAAAACAGCTAAATCTATCAATACGGCGGTGGATAAGATTTGAAAGTGATTTTGTCGCCGGCTCCCGGACTAATAGTCAAGAGCTGTCGCGCTTAATATTCATAAATCCTTTGACCGTGTATGACATGAGGGTTTGCTGGCCAAACTTCGATGCTATGGATTGTCGGAGCAGTTTTGTGTATGGCTCTCCAGCTTCCTGAAAGAACGTTTCCTGCAAGTGGCCGTCTATGGATATCTCTTGAATACGTTTACCATCAACGCTGGACATCGGTTGCGAATGCACATCTCCCCCGGCGGCAGGACCTCTAGCGATTCACATCCAACGTATCTCGCTACTTTCGCACAGGCACCGCTCTTAGAGCGCCTTGAGGATTTTCCTGCATTGCTTGCGTTTTGTTCTTAAAAAAAGTATCAAAGATGAACTTTTTTGATACTTATCGTTTTTCCTATTGTTACTTTTCATAGTATTTTCATGAAAATTAAAAGCATTATTATAATGTAAATAGATTGAATGGTATGGTGTGTAGGCTTTCACGGCCGGTGTCTTAGAAATTGTCTGACGTTCCGGATTAATTACCCGTGGTCTTCAGGTTTTTGTATTTGACGTTTCGTCTGCTACTGCTATTGCAGCTACTGCTACGGCGACCGCAGTAGAATACGAAACGACATGTATAAAAACCTCCAGACCACGGCTAATGAACCCTGAATAATCGGACAGATTGAATGATACTTATGAGCTTTATAGCGAAAATAATCGATAATCTTATCCTTACTTTCACAGGCTTGTTGAATCCATCTTTCATGGATACACTGTAGCGATCTTCTCCTTCAGGTCCACCAAATGTGAGCTCAGCAACAGTGTACGGCGTATTGCATTTTTTGACTTGACATTGTTCAGATCGAGCGAAAATTTTTCCTGACCAAGTGTATTCCAAAATAACGGATGCCTGAAAACGGAATTAAATTTATATTAAACTGATACGTTTGGAAATCTTTATTCGTCTTGTGTGACATCAGAAAAGTCAAGTCATAGTCGACATATTCAGTTATGTGAGGTTAACTTTTCATTTCGCGAATAAAAGCTACATTGCTTAGTTCTTGGCAATGAATTATGAAAAATGCATTTTGGTTATTGATCAAGGACAGTTGAAATGATAAAAAATAATTACCAATAATAAGTTTTGAATGAATACCTATAGAACAGAATATCAAAAATACCTTCTGGTTTACAGTAAGTATACAGCGGCAATACGCTGATAAATCTTTTAATTTGAATTCAAAATGGCATTCTAGCGGCATCTCAGATGATTAATTTTATCGTCTTCATGTTTTTCATTTTTCGAAAGAATAATTCCGAAGTTCCGGAAAAGAAGCATAAATATCAACTTGAGAGTGATTATTAGCCTGAACCTCAGCATTAAAACTTACTGCGAATTTCCGCTCACTTATGTCATTCGCGGTGCATATTTAATAAACATCGGATGTCTAGCAGTGAGAATGACAGGGTTCCATGTAAGTGAAATTTCACTTCTTTCGTTAATTATATTTCGTAGAAATCCTGTGTATGATATCTGATTTGATTCCATACGAATGTTTGGAATACAAACGGAATAGAGAAAAGTGGAAAGTATTTTTCTTTCGTGTAATTCAATGTGGCTGTTTCGAGAGGGCTTTTTTCCAGTTTGTGTCTGAAAGTTACTTCTTTGTATGATCTACACATCTTCATATAGAGTTAATTTTTTTTCAAATCGATTCGTTCCTTTCTTATTTAGTTTTTTTATGCCTTTCTTTGGAGGTTTTTAATGAAGGACAGGTAAAAAGCCAAAAATATTTTTCCAGACAAGTAATTTCTCATAAAAATATTCCATTTCAATTCAAGTAAATAAGTGTTTGGTCCAAATGAAGGGTGAAAAATTATTTATGTGATCAATATGGTACATAATACGAATCCACGTTTTTTTTAAAGAAATACCCAAGCATTATAGAAATATTATTTTGAATAGTATGAAAGAGGTGCATGTACAAAAGTAGTGATCTACGTTGGATTTAAATCAATGTAGATTCTATTTATTCGGAGAAACTCTCTTGGTGTAGAATATACTACAAAAGAAAATATAATGCTAATAAACTCATTTAAGGAGAATATTGCAGTTAGATCGGTCACATCTCATATGTTGATTAACTTTAGAAAGAAAGCATTTTCAATTACGGTTGGCATGCTGCCAATCTATAGGAACTATCAATTTTGAATATCTCTCACATCAAGTTTGATTCGTTTTGTGTTTTTATAAAATTTGAAGGATGCAATTAGCAAGCTGTTGATGACAATTTTCCAGCAGATCCTTTTTTACCACTTATGTGATGAAAGTGGCCGATACTTGACAAAAATTCACATCAAATAGTTTACGAAATCGCTACAAGTGTTTTACTATCCCATAGCTTTTCGAGAAAAAAAAGGTAATAATGTACTAAAAACTAAAAAATACTTCAGGAGGTCCTGGTAGTAGTCCTCACAACACTCTCCTCAGCCATACACGGGCGTAGTATCTACATATTTACTCAGGTTACGCTACGCCCAACAATTTTATTATTTTTTTTCCTGATCGATACCGTAGATTGCTGAGTCGAGTGGTGTAATGTCTGCTACCCAATATCTTCTGAATTTTTTTTAACTGCCGGTGTTATTGATGGAAAACTTTTAACCTTAGAAACGAACCACTTTGTTTTGCTGCAGAAAATATTTGACAATGACGGATACCTGTATGTACCTGTATCTACAATAATAACTTGAATAGTCGAAGTAAATGGCATTGTTCATACTTAAAGGTGTCGGCGCTCTCAAAGGCCAAACAAATCAAAACAGAGAAATGAACCCGCTGCCAACTAGTCCACGTGGACCGAAGAATTGTCGGTTCGTATTGGATAATTTTTACTAAACGAGGTTTTTTGATTGGCTGAAGAGTCGTAAAATAAAATTTGAAGTCATCTTACGGTAACGAATAGAATGAGAGGATGGTTATAGCATTCGTGTTGCCAATGTTCAGTTCAGGAACTGATCGCGATTTGAGTGTTGAAATTTGATATTGGTGCAGTTATAATTTTCGTTATCTTTTTAAAATGTGGCGTCCTTGGACAAGTACTAATAGTAATAACGAGTGTGATAACAACGCAGACCTTTTCCAATGTAGTGATTTCAATAGCGATGATGAACAACGGGAAAAAGAGATACCAGTGAATAAGATTCGAGTGCATTTGAAAATTGAAATACAGAGAGTATGTTTCAATGTATATAAGAATCTACATCTCAAGTTTGGTTTCGAGGGAAACAAACTATTACAAGCAAAATCAGATTTGACTGAAATTCCTTTCTCAACTGTACGTAAAATAGTCAAAAAACAAACATTATGAACGCAAGACGCAATGTGAAACGGAATTACCAAAACCTTTAGATGTTCATCTAATGAAATCATTTGGAAAAACAATATACGACTGTTACATAAGCCATGAGATTCCTACAACTGAAATCATAAGGAGAAATTGAACACTTCCGGCCATAACGTGAGCTGCTGTGAAAAAACTCTTCAGAATTGGATAAAGAAACTGGGATTTAGATTTGAAATAATAAGCAAACGTCAAGCAGTTATGGAAAGCAGAGGAGTAGTGGAATTGCGTAACAGATATTTAGAACAAATAACTAAATATATACAAGAACAACGGCAGATTTTCTATTTGGACAAAACTTGGTATGACACTCGCGACAAAGTTACAAAAGGGTGAACTGATGGTTCGTGAATGCTTTTTGTGTTCCACTCTAAGTTCGCACTGGTCACTCTGTTGTTCGGAGCCCATATCTATATTGTTGTGGCAGGTATCCTCCAAACATGAAGGGCATTGTTGTCACGCGAGATACCTGACCAGTGACCAGTGCGAACTTAGAGTGGAACACAGCAAGCGAGAGCTAGTAACAAGACTTGGGGACAAGGGAGATTACGACCTCGTCCTCGAGTCATGTTATTACAAATCTAAGTGATCTTGAAAATGGCTCTAAAGCAGGAACCAAAACGATGAAAATTACAGACGCGGTTCAACTCGTACAACAGTATATCATATTCTTATATAATCAGAAATGATTATTGAATAACAAAATTCGTTAGCTTCCTAACTATATTATTAAAGGGAAACTGTTGGAAGGTAGGTTGCACTATATCGTTTACTTGAACACCTGTATGCACAATAATAACTTGTAATTATTTTTTGTAAAAAATAACAATCGTGAAAGGAATAACAAAATGTATGTGATGGAATCGGCTGATACTTTATGAAAATCCATAACGTATTTAAGAAACACTTCATTGTGAGTTTTTCACTACACAGTGTTTTGACGTATCTAAACGTATAGATACGCCTGAAGAAGCTACTAGGGTGGTTCCAAAAGTACCCGGCCTGACCTTGAGATGGCGTTAGTTTAAAAAAAATATAGTATCATAAACCTATAGACGAATTTTTCATTAGTAGTAGAGAGTGATGTACATATTCTTTCATTTCGCTGTTCGGATTGACTTCGTTTAAAGTTTAGACTATACTCCAGCTATAAAGCAAATATTTGTAGTTTGAAGACGCTGCGTTGTTCAGTATTTGTTTGGCAGCCATCAATAGCGAACGTTTTCGGTGAATTTGTAAAAATGGAGAAAATTGGTCATTGATATGTGGTACAATACTTTTATGTAAAAGGCCTCAACCAAACCGATATAAAAGCTGAACTGGATTTTACTCTGGGTGAGTCTGTTTCTTCGTTTACAACCTCATTCACCCTATTGGCCAGACTTAGCCCCCTCGGATCATTTTCTGTTTCAAAACATGAAAGTGATGTCGGCAGTTAATTGTTACTTTGAGGAGAAAGACAGTCCTTTTTATAAAACCGGTAATGAACTTATGGAGCGTCGCAAGGGAAAGTGTTAAGAGCTGCGAGGAGGTTATGTTGAGGAATACATACATAAAATAAGTAAGATTTCAATCAGTAGTTTTCGATAAATCCGTGGTGGGAAGTTTTCAAATGAACACCCTGTATAAGAATCTACATCTCAAGTTTGGTTTCGAGGGAAACAAAGTATTTCAAGCAAAATCAGATTTGACTGAAATTCCTTCCTCAACTGTACGTAAAATAGTCAGAAAACAAACCTTATGAACGCAAGACGCGATGTGATACGGAATTACCAAAGTGGAATTGCGTAACAGATATTTAGAACAAATAACTAAATATATACAAGAACAACGGCAGATTTTCTATTTGGAGGAAACTTGGTATGACACTCGCGACAAAGTTACAAAAAGGTGGACTGATGGTTCCTGAATTTGTACGCCTAACATGCCTGCAAACAAAGGATCGCGACTAATGATGGATAACAGTTTGTATTTTAGAGAGAACTATACAAAAAACCAACTACTTGAAGTTAAACCGACAAAAACATTTGAAAAAGTGTATGCTCTCGAGAGTATTGCTGAAAAGTATGGATACACCATACTGAGACTTCCCCCCTATTTTTGTGTTTTCGAATCCAACGAGTTGATTTGGGGAAATTCGAAACAAAGCATCAGGCGTAAAAATAATTTTCCAAAACTTTCCGAAGAAGACTGGCAGAAAAGGATTGAAAAAGTAATTATACTTGAAGTATCCTCCAAACATGGAGGGCATTGTTGTCACAGCAAGCGAGAGCTAGTAACGAGACTTGGGGACAAGGGAGATTACGACCTCGTCCTCGAGTCATGTTATTACAAATCTAAGTGATTCTTGAAAATGGCTCTAAAGCAGGAACCAAAACGATGAAAATTACAGACGCGGTTCAACCCGTACAACAGTATATCATATTCTTATATATTCAGAAATGATTATTGAATAACAAAATTCGTTAGCTCCCTAACTATATTATTAAAGGGGAACTGTTGGAAG